AGCTCACTAATAAAAAGCAGTGTGATCTGTCCATGTTAATTGAAAGAGCGACCTACGTAGAGGGACACTGCTATGTGTCCTTTCAATCTTCGTTGTCTTCCTCCAGTCACTATTGAGTGTGTGAGACAATGGATGGCCAGCCAATGACCACATTGCCCAGTATTGTAGGGATTTGATTTGATAACTTTCAGGTTGCAGTTTGGTTTAAACCTTAATTTTTTTTTTTTAATTTAGATGGGGTAGATACCACTCATGAAATGCTCTCACTTAAAGGTTACATTATAGAACTAAACCACAGCTCCATAACATACGTTGTCATTTCATTGCTAGGGGTAATAACCTTGGAAAAAAATACCTCTGGGGGGCCGGCCCGGTGGCGCAAGCAGTTGGGTGCGCGCTCTCCGCTGCGGCGGCCCGGGGTTCGCTGGTTCGGATCCCGGGCGCGCACCGACGCACTGCTTTGGCAAGCCATACTGAGGCGGCGTCCCATATAAAGTGGAGGAGAATGGGCACGGATGTTAGCCCAGGGCCGTCTTCCTCTGCAAAAAAAGAGGAGGATTGGCAGATGTTAGCACAGGGCTGATCTCCTCACAAAAAAAATACCTCTGGGGTTTTAGTTCTACTTTATGAATAAGCTGGTGATATAAATATTTTTTACCCAGTTGTTATTTGAATATCTGATTTCAGCTTTATCGAAGGACAGATTTTAATTAACCTTTGTTTCTGAAAGTGTTTCTTTTACCTGAAATGATATTGCAAATATTGTTGCATTTTGAAAAATAAGTATATAAATCCAAGTTGCAAAGCAGTTCGCTGGGACAGATATGGATACTGGTTTTGAAATTTTCTGTGGCCTGATTATGACTGTATCACTTGCTCCTTCAGCTCTTAGTAAAGTTCCAAGTACACTGCCTATTCAATGCTAATGATTAGGATAATGATGATTAAGTGACAGCAATCAACCAAATGTCTGCTTCCTTTAGAAGAGCTTAAAGAAAACAGTCAGGCACTGCTAATGGGAGAGTAAATTGGTATAGCCGTTCTGGAGAACAATCCGGCAGTATTTAGTGAAATTAAATACATTCGACCCATTCACCTCAGAGAAACTTTTGCACAGTGCATAACAAGGCCTGGGCAAGGATATTTATCACAGTGTCATTTGTGGACTGGGAAGTTGGAGGCCACTTAGATGTCCTTCACCAAGGGAAGGGATAATAAAATATGATGGATGTGTACTATGCAGCCATTAGAAGCAAACAACCAGAGGTACACGTAAGTACAAGGCTAAAGCTTAAAAACAAAGTGTTAAATTAAAAACTAAGTAATAAGACCTATAGTGCAATATCATTTGTGCAAATTTAAAACATGCACACACACATGATAGCACCATATGCCTTGTAACGATATACGCATATCTAGGCTACCTCTTAGGCACATTAGATTGGATTCCTGTGAGGCAGAGGGGAGTGAGAGAGGGCATCAGAGCTGAAGGGGGCAAAAATAGAATAAAACAAGAGAAAAGCCCGACATGGCCCAATACTGCTAATGAGAAGTATGATTAATCCAACCCCTGCTACCTCAGGTCCAAATGAGGAAATGAAAATAGGCTCATTTTACAATTGTTTCTTTAAATACTACTTGCATAAAGTCTTTTTGGGCACTAGCGCACACGTCTCTCCAGTGTGAGATCCCATTTTGCTGGTGTCTGTGCCTTGTTTTCCTCATCTATAAAATATGGATAATACTACTACTATTCTGATGTTGGTGTTTGGAATTAAATAGATAAAATATATGTAAAGCATTTAGAATAGTGTATGGCATGTAGTAAGCATTCAATAAATGTTGGATATTATTGCTGTTGTTATTATATTATTGTTATTATTATGTAACATCACTTTGAGCAAAGGTAGGGAAAGACTTGAGGAATTGATTCTCTATCTCAATTTATTCTCTATTAGAAATTTTGGGGAAAAATTAGTGTTTATCCTAGGAAGTTTAAATCAAAAGGAATAAGTGGTAATGAAAAATGTCAATTAGGAATTAAAGTGAATTGCAAGAAAGATTGTGGATTGGATTCTAATCACTAAGGCACAGTTTCAGGACATTATCTAATGACAGGAATCACCTGAATGCCTGAGCAAAAAAAAAGGGTACGTCCTGGAGACAGTAAAAAGATCAGTGGCTGCCAAGGGTGAGGGAGGAGTGTGGGATGAATACGTGGAGCACAAAGGATTTTCAGGGCAGTGAAACTACTCTGTGTGATACTATAATGGTGGATATATGTCATTATACATTTGTCCAAACCCCTAGAATGTACAACTCCAAGAGTGAACCCTAATGTAAATTCTGGAGTTTGGACGATAGTAATGTGTCAATGTAGGTTCATCAATTGTAACAAATATACTACTCTGGTGCTGGATGTTCATAGTGAGGAGGATGTGTGTGGTGGGAGTCAGGCAGTGTATGGGAACTCGCTGTGATTTCCACTCAGTTTTGTTGTGAACCTAAAACTACTCTAAAAAATAAAGTCTATTTCAAAAGAGTCTATTAAAAATTTTTTAATTAGGGGGCCAGCCCGGTGGCACAGTGGTCTACTTCGGTCTACTTCGGTGGCCCAGGGTTCCCAGGTTCGGATCCCAGGCGCGCACCGACGCACCGCTTGTCAAGCCATGCTGTAGCAGCATCCCATATAAAGTAGAGGAATATGGGCACGATGTTAGCCCAGGGCCAATCTTCCTTGGCAAAAAAGGGGAGGATTGGCATTGGATGTTAGCTCAGGGCTGATCTTCCTCACACACACAAAAATATTTTTTCATTAAAACAAAAAGAGCAGAGAGTCCCCAGCCTCATCTGAGACCCACGAAAACAAAAGGAATATGAGAATATTTATCTATAACAAGAAGACAGCATAATTCTTATGCTCAAGCTAGTTTAGGAACCTGCACTAAGCTAAGGCCATGTTTCTTGGAAAGCTAAGGAGACAAGAACCCTACTTACATGCTGGCTCTGTTGCTGACCTCATCTGTTATCGTTCTGTAAAAGCAAATACCTGCCTCCCTCAGCATCAGGTCTTCCCCAGTTGCCCAACCACATCCTCTTGAACCCTCTTTCATTTTTTATGGCCTATCAGTCAGAAATCTTGTTAAACTTTATTTTCAAGTTTTTATTTCTACGTTTCTGTTCTCTATTATAGTAATCTTCCTAAAGGACTAATGTTCCTAAAACGTACTGTTCAAAACTCCCTGTGGGCTTCCCAACCTGTTCAGAAGTAAAGTGTAAATTCCCATCTTGTCCACTCTCTCCTCATTGACCTTGGGTGTAGGCCTTTGTTCATGCTCTTCTCCCAATCAAAAATGCCCCTTCTCCTTCACTCTGGCTCTCCAAATATTATTGATACCTTTCTTTCCATGGAGTGCTCCAGCCCACGTGGCCATCCCATTTCTCTGACTTCTGTAAGGTTTGTTGTTTACTTTGACACTTAATCATGTATTTTCTTTCTTGAATTTTGTCTTAACTATTTTATATTATGCTCTGTTGTGACAGGTCAATGGAAGCTCCTAAAGGACATATAGTATCCTCTTAGATGAATGGATGGATTTATGAAATAGTACCATTTCTTGGGTGAAGTATATGTTCTCTATGAGAAAGAAGGCTTTGTGTGGTTGGGCCCATGAATTTGGAAGGCATTTGAGTGTTTAGAACACTGAGGACCAATTTTAGACTTTTTCTTGTTTATTTTTCTTAGCTTTTCTCCACAAAGTTGTGCTATGCCATAGACCTTTTGTTCTTTTGCTTTCATCCAAATGCCAGTTCACTGCAAGTAAATTACCCATTCAATGAAATAGCACGTGCCTACATACGGTGACTGTGGTGTCAGAAGCTGAAGTTGGAATGTAGAGTCTGACAAAGGATTTTGTGCTGTGTCCAACAGCAAGAGGGTCCATGGAGGAGGTAGTTTGGAGACTTCAAAAATTGCCATTTAAGGGGGCTGGCCTGGTGGCCTAGTGGTTAAGTTCACGTGCTCTGCTTCGGCAGCCTGGGGTTCACAGTTTCGAATCCTTGGCATGGACCTACGCACCTCTCATCAAGCTATGCTGTGGATGAATCACACATATAAAGGAGAGGAAGATGGGCACAGATGTTAGCTCAGAGCTAATCTTCCTTAGCAAAAAAAGAGAAGGATTGGCAATGGATGTTAGCTCAGGGCCAATCTTCCTCACATGCACAAAAGAATTGCAATTTAAGATATATTTCAATGATTTGGAAAACTGAGATGAGATATTTAAAATTAGAGACTTTTCTGGAAAATTTAAAATGGTGGCCACCATGCTCTTCAATGACTCACACTGGGCTAGAATTATGGAGGATACAAAAGTATAAGACATGGAATGTCCCTGCTATTGAGGAGTTTACAATATTGTGGAGAAGATAGGATTTTCATAAATAAAATAATTATAGGGATTTTAGTAAACAGTACCAAAGAAAAAGAAATGCTACAAGAATTTTCACCAATAGAATGGGCCAACGCTTTGTATATAGTATTTCAGATCCTCACCAACCATTTGAAGAGGCGGTTATCATTTCCATTTTAGACATGAGGAAACGAAGCTCAGAGAAATTGAGTGACATGCTCAAGGTTACACAATCGGTAATCTGTGGTGGAGGGATTTGAACCCAGGTGCTATCAAGCTCCAAAGTCTGTGATTTTTTCACTCTGGTGTTGATCCCTGCTTTCTTCTCCTGTACCACAGCAGATCTTGCAAAGTGATGGTAAAATTATTATTGTTCCTAATTTAAAACATGTGTGCAAAGAACTAAGACTGATGTGATTGTGGGATTTTCCCCTTTTTCAACATTGTCTTTATAATTATTATAAAATTTTACACATAAAAGAAGGAAATAGGTGACACTAAAGATAGAATATATTATATTTGAACCACCCACTGCTTTGTTGGCTCTCGTTTAATTAAATTGTTTCTTTTCTCTTGAAGGCAATTGCATGGAACTAGAAAAATGAATAAAAATAAGCTGATTCATGATTTCCTGGAAGTAGTTTCAAGAGGTGATGTGGAGCTCATCTGTGACCATATTACTAAAGTCCATTCCATCCTCGGGAACCTTGACTTTCAGCATCCAAAGACTGGGAATACACCTCTCATTACGGCAGCAGAAGAAAATCTAACAGAGGTAACATGTGGTGTCCTGGGGCCCATGGATGGTCTTCTAAGCTAAGGATTCCAAGAATGTGATGTTTGGGAATAGCATAATCACTTACCTCCATGAAAGAATGTCTGAAGGCACAAAGCGAGGGGATGGGGTGGGGGTACTAGAGGGAGAACTAGGAGACCTTAAATATTCTAGACAATCGCCATCTTTTTTTTTTTTTTTTTTTTTTTTTTTAAAGATTTTATTTATTTTATTTTTTGCCCCCAAAGCCCCAGTAGATAGCTGTATGTCATAGCTGCACACCCTTCTAGTTGCTGCATGTGGACAATCGCCATCTTTATTCATTCCCTTACTCTGTCAACAGATATTGCTACTATACCCTAGGCAATATAGTATACTTCATGTTGGATACAAAGGAGAACCAAACACAGATGTCACCCTTGAGGAGCTTATGGTCTAGTGGGACCGTATATTGGAGCCTGAGCTTTTCCCTCCTGTCCCACTCCCAACCCCCAGCCCTATCAGTACCTGGAAATTTGTTCCCTGCTCTAACAAAGGCACATAATCCTGAAAGTAGGGACATAAGAGTAAATAAATAATAATAAGACCTAAAAGGGCAGGAGATTGACCTCTTTGTTCTAGCTGTATATCCAGCTGCAAGCAGAGTGCCAGACACATCTAGGTGCTTAATCAATACTTATTGAACGGATAAACTAGAGAATAAATAATCTCTTTGGGTCTTATCAACCATTCATATCATTGTGTGTAGGAACTTATAATATCCTTTTTAAGAATGCAGGTGAAAGTGGTAACAATATGAGCACTTGGAATTGGGGAGGGGCAGCAAGGAGGAGGCCTCAAGGGGAATAGAAAAGGGCTTAGAACAGGGAAACTAGAGTGAAAAAGACAAATTTCACTCAACTGCATAGGTCAGTGCTTCTACAAATTCTTGGTAGTCTAAATGCAAATGGACCCTCAACCCTACCTGGCCACATTTGCTTCCTCAATTAGCCTCTCTCTTGACTATATTCTTAGCAATTTTTCTATTTTGACTCCTTTCTATTAACAGCTTTTAGACAAATTATAAAATATAGCATGTATGCTAAAAAAAGAAACATGTATGTTCAACTTACAGAAAAATAATGACACTAGCACCCATGTACCCACCATCCAAGCCAAAAATTAGAACACTGCTGTGTCTCAAAAGCCATCTATATGCTCCTCCTGAATTGCATCTCCTACCCTTTGTAATCATTGTCTTGAATTTTGGATTAATCATTTCCTTAGTTTTGCCACCTCTGCATATGTTCCTAAATAATACCTTGTTTATTTTTTCCTGTTTCTGAACTTTATAAAAACAAATTTACACTGCATGTGTTCCTCTGTAACTTGCTTCTTCTGTTCGTTATTGTGTTTTTGAAATTCACCCATTTTGAGACATGTAGCTGTTGTTTTTCATTTTTACTGTATCTAGTATTCTATTTATGCTGCAACTTATCTGTCTATCCTACTTTGTTGGACATGTGGGTGGTTTCCATATTTATGTTATTACAAACAATAATCATATTTTCCATTAACATTTAATGTACTAAGATATCTCCCTTCTGATGACACATAAATAAACAAACACCTCCACTGATCCCACATCCTCCTCCAACCACTTCCTTTCCTCTCTCAGACCTTTTCACCTGCAGGCCTCTGTCAAGGAGTATAAAAGATCTGAGATTTTACCCTACTTGCAAGCTAACAAGTTAGCCTGCCACAATTTCCTTGATTCTTGGCATAAGAAACAAAACTGGGTCAGAGACCAATGGCAGTTTTTCACTCCTAACAATAGCATTACCCAGAGTATTATTAGTTTTGTATCAGTTCCCTAAGCCCTAATTCCCACAGGATGATAGGAAGAGGACCAGATGACTCCTGCTCATACAGTGAGTTGGACTGAAGGAGAAGAACCCTAAATTTAGGGAACCCAAATCTTTTATAATGGGCAATAAGCAAACCTACCATTTGCTCCAGAGGGAGATAATATCTCTATCTTTCAAGGCTGTTCATTATACAAATAAGCTTTAAAAGAGTCTGAAACAAAGACAGTCAGTGCCTCTGCTCTTAAGACTTGTAGAAATGTGAGAGACCCATGGAGACTTGTCCCCTAACAATATCTACCCTTCATTTCTACATTGTCTTGGCTTCTGGTGAATTTTCCCATAAGTATACCACTCTGTTGGCTATTCTGATTAATCTGACCAACAGAGGCTGAGACCAAATCAGTCAATTTGTTTTATATGACATTCGACTAAAGCTGCTATCATTAAGACTCCAAGCAGCAGAATGAGTCCATACTGTAGACTGGCCTCAACCATGCCATCCAGGGTCCTGGACTCTTCCAGCTGAGCAAATCACATAAACCATCAGGATCTGCCCTAGAAAACCAGGTGGCTGTCTCTTTAAGTTTCTCTATTGACCTTCCCACTTGGTCCAAGTTGTCAATCCAGGTGGGGCAACATGTATTAGCCATTGCACAGACCATCTTGGCCTGCAAGGAGGAAGTCTAGGGCAATTCTATCATCCATAACAGCCCTGGCCAGTGACTTGACTACTGACCTGAATGCCTTTCAGGGATGAGGTGGTGTCATTGATAACTTCAGCTAAAGTCGGGGACAAATTTTGTTCCACTTTTTTAATTCCATGACTCCTGTCATAGGGATAATTGTCCACGGGAGGGCACATAAATGACAAGTCAGCTATTCGTCTGGGATGCTCCCCCAAGTAACCAATGGTAGCTTCATTTTGGGGAAAGCTCTGTGGTCATCTGAGTCATCTACTGATGGTATTTTCTTAAATATTTGAAGATCTCTTGTGACCACCACTAAGGCGTTAAGTCACCACGTTTTCAAGAGGGATGCAAGTTAGTGCCAGGTTTCCACACAAGAAGTATAGTCCTGGGGGTGCCCCTGAGGGGAAAAAAGTGGTGTTAACAATTGCTGGGCCCCCTGACTGGGACCTATATCAGTCGGGGGGCACAGGTTGACAGTGCCTCCATGTGGCCTCTCAGCTGGCTGGTAGGCCTTAGGATTCTCGATTCAGTTTGAATAATTGAGTCTGGTCCTTGATTTGTGTGGGTTATCAGTCCTGTTTGTCCATGCCAACAGCTGAGTAGCATTCATCTGCTCCACAGAATGAGTGAGTGATGGCTACAGGGATGAGTGTGGGAAGAAGTCTGGAGGTGTTGACAAGTGTTTTACATGGAAGGTGCAAGAGTTGGGGCTGTCAGCTGCTGTTTCTAATAGACTTCTTGGTAAGGAGAAGGGAGTTGGCAATCAAATCGTGAACAGAACTATCTGGCAGATCCAGCAGTGAGTTAAATTTAAGGTGCTTGCAACAATTCGGGAGAGCCATACCAGGACATTTTTCTTCACAAAGAAAGCTCCTGGGGTGGTTCTGAAAGACAAAGATCATTCATGTCCCTCCCTCCCCTGTACATAATGGAGTCTAAGATGTTCTCTCCCTAGCTACCAGGCTTGTTGCTCTCCTTCCACCACCACAAAATCTATGTTTCCCATTTCAGAAGCTACAACTTCACCGCTGTGTAAGAAACATACAGGTCTTTACTTTGTGCCCAGTCTATGTTGGTGGATGTGTTGCCATGTCTGATATGATAGATCCAGGCAGCAATGGAGGCAATCTGGATTGTGCAGGGTCAATCAAATTTCATTCCAGTCAATCTCATCAGAGAATGGACCCTTGACATGGGTTTCTACGTGAAGTTGACCCAGACAGTTTGCTTCACAGTTCATGGCCTTAAAGAGATGTGTTTTTAATCGACCAGTCTGTAATTTTCCAAGTGGCAGGCCCAACAGCTAGAACATTGGCAGCAGCCCAAGAATCAGTAAAAAAGTGACAAGGTTCATCAAGGGGAGTAGCGGCCAGAGCTATGAGAAGAGCCTTGAGTTCTACCCATTGAGTGGAACCGCCACATCCATTGTCAGTTCTGCATTGCTGGCACTGAGGTTGAGCAGCTGCAACGGTCCAGGGCATGCTATCAGGTTTCAGCTTGGTTGAACCATCAGTGACGCAGGCCCAGGCATTTAGGGGAACCCTTGTGAAGTGAAGTCCTCCTGAGCCAACAGCTTTGCTTCAAGTGGTGGAGTAGGGGATAAAATTTCCTGCAAAGAGAAAATATCACTTTTTCATGTAAAGTGAAGATGCCAATGGGACTGGGCCTGCTGCATTCTTAAACATAACATTTCCATTTGACAAGCTAGGCTTGTTGGGCCTTTCTCATCATGTTAATCATTGAGTCCGAGTTGACTCACCTCCAAATGGGAATATTGGGCCTGAGGGTCACAAGATCTCGATGGATCAGGTGTTCAGTTTTGATAAGAGCCCACTAGTAAGCTAACATCCACTTTTCAAAAGCAATGTACCTAATAGACATGTCAGTGAGGCAACAAGTCTAAATCCCCAAGGAACACCTCGGGGAGGAGACAGCCTCACTTTGCCAGAGGCTCCCAAATTGGCAAAATTATCAGCCATAGAGACTCAAAATGGTCAGGGACTCCCAAGATACTAGCACTTCTCTACATATTCACTCATCAGGATCAGAAGAATCCTTCCTGGCGCATAATGGAATTGGGAAGTAAACACACATAATACATTAATTCCTATTATACATTCAGATATAGAAGCCACAACAATAGTACATTGAATTGAGGCCTCACCCACAGACTCACATTAGCTTTCCTTTCCCACTGTGAACTTTGCCCAAACCTCATTAACTGAATTCAGATACCTACTTCCCCCAAGGGACTGGGCTGGATGTTGAGTTGGGAATCTGAACCCAAGAGTGCCATAGGAGTTTGAGTCTCTCCCCTCCTCGAAGTTCACCAATATACTCGCATGGGTGGCTATGACCTTCAGTCCCTCTTTGAAGACAAGGTGTCCTTGACTCCACTTATAATGATGTTTATCCTTAAAGCAGCTGAGGTCTAGGTAGAGGGGGAGAGAGGGGTTAAGAACGTGGAGAATGAGAGTGGCTCCAGGCCAATAAGCAAGGCACATTTACTTTTGGTTTCCAGAAGCATGGGCGCTTCTTACTGCTCTTCCAAATGAACTCCCAATGTTTTTGGTCCATACCAAGCCTTATATCAGGTGGCAAGCTCATTATTACTGACACCATCTATTTCAGCTACAGGGATCCCTTGCATCCACATTGCTTTCTGACTGGAGCTACAGAGTTTGCAGCCCTGGTTGATTCAGGCTTAAACTTTCACAGCAGGGCTTTTTTTAAAGGATTCTGCCTTAATCTGAATCATTTTCTGACCCATTGTCATGAAAACATCTCTTAAATTTTCACTTCCTCCCTCTCTCTTCCCTAGCCATAAGCAACTACTAATCTACTTTCTACCTCTATAGATTTTCCTATTCTGGACTTTCATATGAATGGAATCATATAGTATGTGGTCTTTTGTGGTTGGCTTCTCTCACTTAGCGTACTGTTTTCAAGGTTCATCCATGTTGTAGCATATGTACTTCATTCCTTTTTATAGTTGAATAATATTCCATTATATGGATATACCACATTTTATTTATCTATTTGTCCATTGCTGGAAATTTGGGTTGTTTCCATGTTTTGGTTACTATGAATAATGATGCTATAAACATTTATGTACAAGTCTTGGTGTGGTCATGTATTTTCATTTCTCTTTCATTCCACTCCTAGCATTTGTAGGAGTGGAATTGCTGGATTGTATGGTAACTCTATGTTTAATCATTTGAGGAACTACTAGACTGTTTTTCAAAGTGGCTGCACCATTTACAGCAATCCATAAGCGTTCTTGTTTCTCCACATCCTTGTCAACGCTTACTGTTATCTGACTTTCTGATTCTAGTCATTGTAATGGGCTTCACACAAAGGTATTTGGAAATATAGAGATCTATTAGAAGGCTGTTGCACTGTTTCCAGTGAGAGATCATGGTGGTCTGGTCTGCAGTGGCAGTAAGGAAGTAAGGAAGACTGAAGTCAGAAACCTGGGAGTTATCCTTGATTTCTGGCTCAGAAATCAGCTCGCATATCTAATCAGTTCTACCTCCTAAATGTTCCTGGATTATGCCATCAGCTACTCCATTTCCTCTGCCACTTCCCTTGTTCAGTCATCATCATCTCTCCATGAGGCTACTGCAATAATCTCCTCTTTGGTCTCTCTTCCCCTCTTCCCCATATTAATCTATTTCAGCAGCCAGAATGATTTTTAAAAATATTGATCTGATCATGTCATTTCTCCTTAAAATCTTTCCCTGGCTCCCATTGTCCTGAAGATACAACTCTAGTTCCTAAAAGGGGTGTAAGGCCTTTCAGGACTTAGCTACTGCTGACTTCTCCATCACATATCTTACCCCTCCTTCCCCCATCCTGAGCTCCAGCCATGCCCAATTCCTTCCAGAGCTTTGAATGTTATTTGTTATCTTGTTCACTGTATTAGATAGCTTCATAACAACATACCAAAGCCTGTGTGGCTTAAAAAACAGACATTTATTTTTTCATAGTTTTGGAGGCTGAGAAGTCCAAGATCAAGGTTCTGGCTAATTTGATTTCTGGTGAGAGCACCCTTTGCAGGTGGCTGCCTTTTCTCTGTGTCCTCACTTGGCAGAGAGAGAGAGCAAGCTCTCTGGTGTCGCTTCTTATAAGGACACTAATCCTATCAGATCAGGACCCCATCCTTATAACCTCATTTAACCTTAATTAATTCCTAGAGGCCCTCTCTCCAAATACAATCACATTGGAGGTGAGGGGTTCAACATATGAATTTTGAGGAGACATACTTCAGACCATAGCATCCAAAGTACCTTGTTCACACTATACCCTTTGCTTGAAACAATCTTTCTCCCAGTCTTTGCCTAGGTAGCTGAGTCTGATCCCTCAGTTCTCAGCTTAGACATCACTTTCTCCAACAAGTCTTCCTGGACCCTCCAAGACAGCTTAATAAGTTTCTTCTAAGTAGCCCCCTTGGCCTCCTGTATTTATCCCATCATCGCATTTACCACACTGTGTTGCAATTGCCTTTTTATCTGTCTCTGTTCTTCACTAGATTGAAAATGCTTTAAAAGCTGGTCACCTGTCTTGTTCATTGTTGGAAGCTCAGCACCAAGGACAGTTCTTGGCACATATTGGTCACTCAATCCGTATTTGTTGAATAAATTAAATGAGTCTTCCATGACTTTTTTTTTTTGGTGAGGAAGATCAGCCCTGAGCTAACATCCATGCCAATACTCCTCTTTTTGCTGAGGAAGACCAGCCCTGAGCTAACATCTATTGCCAATCCTCCTCTTTTTTGTTTTTCCCTTTTTCTCCCTAAAGCCCCAGTAGATAGTTGTGTGTCATAGTTGTACATCCTTCTAGTTGCTGTATGTGGGACGC